CCCTCTCCTCTGCCCTACTTTCTCCCCCTCCTCCACCCCCCTTCCCTGGAATGTGTGTGCTGTGTTCCATCTGCTGCGGCCCCTTCTGTAGGAAAGCCTGAGACCCAGGCCAGCCAGGGCTGTGTTCCCTTAAAGCCTGGAGTGAACCCCCCTTCCTCCTTCCTCTCTCATTCCCTCTGGCCTTTTCAAGACTTTAGAATGGCAGTTCTCAAGTTTACTGCTGTGCTGTCAGGCACTTGTTAGGAGTGTCGCAAGTGTTTGATTACTAATGATCATTAAAGCACCAAGCTGTGGGAATAGTTTACTTCTGGACCTGTGTAAAAATTATTCTTATATTAGCCTCACTCAGTTGCTTTTATTCTGATCAGCAGTTTTGCGTAATTGCGCCTAATCCCGGGGATGTCTATGGGGACGTAGTCAGGTTTGTGTTGAGGATGGTTGCAGTTTCTAAGGGTGGGAAGCCCTAAGAGTTCCTCTTGGGGACACACTGAAAGGTACGCTTCCCCCTTTTTCCTCGCTTCTCTAGGGCGTCCCCCTGGATACCAGTAAACTGCCCACTGACCAGCGGCTGCCTTCATACCCATACAGCCACTCAAGTCTGGTTCTGCCTGCCCAGCCATCCACCCCAAAGCCTCTACAGCAACCAGGGCTGCCCTCTCAGGCCTGCTTGGTGCAGCCCTCAGGTGGGCAGCCCCCAGGCAGGCAGCTACACTATGGGACACTGTACCCTCCCAGCTCCAGTGGGCATGGGCAGCAGTCTTACCACCGGCCAGTGAGTGACTTCAGCCTGGGCAATGTGAGTACCAGGTTCTTAGCTTCGAGGCAGGGGAGGGAATGGGAGTGGGTCAGAGGGGCCTGAGTGATATCATTGGTGCTGTATGAGTTGGGAGATCCAGGTGGGGGAGATCTTCCCTCCCGCCAGGGAATATGACACTGCCGACTTGGGGCTCCTGTCCTGCATCTGACCCCTTTCCCATCCCTTTCCCCTTAGCTCTCTCTGCACAGCTTGCTCTTTGATGACTACTGCTTTGACCCCTTCTCTTCCTGGCACGCACAAGCTCTGTCCCAGCAGGTACGGTGCCCACAGCTACTTGGGGCCCGTGCTCGCCTCTGTCGCTCTGCTTGCTGCCATCTCCTGTTTCTGCTTTTGTCCGGGGGTGGGGGTGGGGGATTGTTGGGGAAAGGGGGCTAAGCAGTGGCAGGCAGGCACCCCTGTTCTGAGACCCACTCCCTCAGGGTTTGTCTTTGTGTCCGTAGCTGGAGCAGTTCAGCATGGAGAGTTCATCTTCCAGCCTGGCGCTGGATCCCACTGGCTTTTCTGAAGGTTCTGGATTTTTAGGGGGTGAGGGATCAGTGAGTGGCTTCCAGGACCCCCATGCCCTCAACCACCAGAACCTGACCCATTGTTCCCGCCATGGCTCAGGGCCTAACATCATCCTCACAGGTGAGAGGTGTGGGTGGTCGTGGGGGATGGCTCCGTATGAGATTAGGGGGTCCTCACCCATTTCTTCTGCCCACACAGGAGACTCCTCCCCAGGTTTCTCGAAGGAGATTGCAGCGGCCCTCTCTGGGGTGCCTGGCTTCGAGGTGTCAGCAGCTGGGTTGGAGTTAGGGCTGGGGCTGGAGGAGGAACTGCGCATGGAGCCACTGGGCCTGGAAGGCCTCAACATGCTGAGCGACCCCTGTGCCCTGCTGCCTGATCCTGCGGTGGAGGATTCATTCCGCAGTGACAGGCTACAGTGAGGGGACGCACCATCCTCCCTCTGACTGGCCCTGTTCCCCATCACTGACCCTTTCCTCCCTTCCCCCTGGCCAGTAGAGACTCGACTCTCTGCCCCCAGATCCTCTTTCTAAAATGAATGAGGGATCCCAAGAATGAGGAAAAGCAAAGGGTTTACCCAGGTGGCCCCCGAATTCTACACAGGGTAGGCCTGGGGGAGCTCAGGGAGGGTCTGAAGCACTTGTAACTTTGAACCGTCTGGAGGTCAGAGCCTGTTGGAAAGCAGGGGGTAGAGGGAGCCCCAGAGGCAAGGCTAGTTCTGGATGCCCAGGGGTGGGCAGTGCCAGCCCCTCCTCACCACTCTTCCCCTTGCAATGGAGGAGAGAGCCAGAGTGGATATTATTTTTTATTAAATATATTATATGTTAATAAAAAAATCATATCAAACCCTTGATGTGTTTGTCTACTGTTTGGATGTGGCTGGGAAACTAGGGAGTCCCTGGGGCACTGACCCTTTCACCTGTTGTGCTTTTTTGTTGTTGCTAATCCTCCCCCGGGAATATTTTTTCCATTGATTTTTAGAGAGAGTAAAAGGTGAGAGAGAGAGTGAGAGAAACATGGATATGAGAGCAACACATCGATTGGTTGCCTCCTGCGTGTGCCCTGACTGGGGCCGAGGATTGAACTTGCAACCATGAGCCCTTGACCGGAAATTGAATCCAAGACCGTCTAAGCACTGTTTAACGGCCAGGGCTGGGCCATCTGTTAGGCTTTTTACATCTGAGCACCAGTGTGGTTTGTGGAAGGCCTCCACCCTTGAGACCCACCCCCCAGTGTCAGAATTTGTTGGGGTTTTTTGTTTTAAGTATATTTTAATTGATTTTTTACAGAGAGGAAGGGAGAGGGATAGAGTTAGAAACATCGATGAGAAACATCGATCAGCTACCTCCTACACACCTCCCACTGGGGATGTGCCGGCAACCAAGGTACATGCCCTTGACCGAAATCGAACCTGGGACCCTTCAGTCCACAGGCCAACTCTATCCACTGAGCCAAACCGGTTAGGGCGGTGTTTTTGTTTTTTTTTTTAAAAAAATTTTTTTATTGATTTCAGAGAGGGGGAGAGAGAAACATCAATGATGAGAGAGAATCATTGACCAGCTGCCTCCTGCACACCCCCTATTGAGGTTCGAGCCCGCAACCAGGGCATGTACCCTGACCAGGAATAGAACCATGACCTGGTTCATAGGTCAGTGCTCAGCCACTGAGCCACGCCAGCTGGGCCAGCATGAGAATTTGCACCTAGCATTGGACAGGGGAATTCAGGCTGGATTTCGGCTTCCACAGCAGCACAGGTGCCTCCCATCTGTTCAGAGCCCTGCTGCAGCATCAGGGGACAAGTTCTGCCTGGCCAGGTGAGTTACTCCTCTTCCTCAACCCTGTGGCCTGGCAGTGAGTAGAAGTGAGGAAGCAACTGCAAGCTGAACCAGAGGTCTGATGTGTCTGATTGAAGGATCCCAGCTTTCTTCGGAGTAGCTGACCTCAGCACTAATGTTACCTAGGAGAGAGGATTTAAATCCTGACACCATGTAGGTCTTGGCTTGGCTTCCCCCCCCCCCTTTTTTTTTTTTAAATATATTTTATTAGAAGAAGGAAGAGGGATGGAGAGTTAGAAACATCGATGAGATAGAAACATCGATCAGCTGCCTCCTGCACGTCCCCCACTGGGGATGTGCCCGCAACCAAGGTACATGCCCTTGACCGGAATCGAACCTGGGACCCTTGAGTCCGCAGGCCGATGCTCTATCCACTGAGCCAAACAGATTCGACGGCTCCCCCTTCTTTATGGCCCTTTAAGCCTAGAAGAAATTAGACAAGCAGTACCTGGCCGGCCTCTGAACCCATGCTCCTAGGTGTCAGGGAAGCTCTGAGGTCTCATTTCTGCCCCCTCACTAGGCATGAACTCACCCTGGCCGTGCTCCACTCATTCTCCAGATGCTTGAGTGCTATGTTCTAAGAGATTTCCTCTCGGCTTGGGTTGCTGCTAGCTCTCTAACCATCATAGTCTCTCCCCTCTTCTCTTCCACTCCCAGCAAAGTCAGAAGGGTCATGTCCCTCCTCAGTTACCCACACCTCTGCTACTCTTTTCACACCCTACATTCCTGGTCTTTCCTCTTCCTCTTTCCAAAGCTTTTGTCACTTTCAGAAAAGAGAACTGAGAGCTCTGGCTTAGGCGGGAAGGGACTACTATGTGCCCTAAACCTGGAAGTAGGGGGAGCCACCTGGGTGTTGCTGCCTAGGCCTTCAGGGCGCTCCCCAAGACCTGCATTGCATATGTGACTAGGATGGCCTTGGACTTCAGCGGCCGCCCTGGTAGTGTCCTGCAGCATCGTGTGAGTGGTGAGAAGCCGCTTGGGTGCAAGGGGCCCTCCCAGCCGCCAGGGGTCGCACTGCAGGCGGTGGGCGCTGG